TATATATAGGTGTAGTAGTACCTCTTCGGGCTCTTGTACACCTTTTTCTTGCTACGTGTGCGTGTTCTTTAGATCCTCAGATGGCTCTAGCACTTTCGTGACCACGGGCCGAGAGTCTTTGCTAGATTTTGGCATTTAGCAACTGGCATACGGTTTAATGTGAAGTCAACAACAACAACAATGACAACTCAACATACATACGCTGAAAAAGTGTAGTACACGTCTCACCACGAAACATGGGGGGGACTGCCGCCATAATAAACAGGACGAAAACACACACACACACACACACAGAGAGAGGTCATCGCGTGTGTGTTAGGTAAAGGTCAGGGGTGGGTTTCCGCTAGGTGATTGGCCGAAAAACCCTCCCGCCTTCCCTCTCGGGTTTTCGTGAAGGGAACCAGGGGTAGCGAGATGAGGTGTGACAGCCTGCCTAGGTTTTCGTCTGTGCGTGGTGAATAAATGAGCAACCCTGGGCAAGATTTGGCGTGGGGTAGGCCCGGGTGACGTGATGAAGTCATGGGGGTCCACCACTCAAAAATAAAAATAACTCGAGATTCATGAGCATAACAAAGCGTTGTATGAGCATGACATGGATATATTCTACTTTTGTTTCGTGGGTATCGTGACCAGGATTCCAACCCCCGTCCTCGCTCTTGCTTGTGAGCGAGGAAAACGGGTCTAGGAGTGTGTGGGTGTGTTTTCGTCCTGTTTGTTGTGGCGACAGTCCCCCATTTTTTCGTGGTGAGACGTTGTTTGGGTGCGGTAGCTCGTCAGAGGCCGAAAGAGAAAGCAGGTTGACTCCGGACCTTGTTGCTTAGAGAGTAAGAGACATGCGGTAGGCAACACCATCGCCATGCAGCATGCCCATCAACACCTTTCATCTGCGTACCCCCGGAGGCCCCGTGGACAGTATACTCTGCCGAGCACCCCAAACTGGTATGTGTCAGTCTATGTAGAGTACTTGACTGTTTTTTTCAGGGTCACTTAGAAGGGGGTAAACTTTATACTTCGAAGTATATTTTTGTTTTCGTGCCTCACCTTCCTCTGCGGTGCGTGCTGATTTATTTTTTTCTCATTGCACAAACTCGGTGGAAGGGTTGCACAGCCACAAAAAAAGCGGGCACATACACAGCTGTGGCATACGACATCGTTGTGGCACTGGTGGCACCTTGCGGCTGCTGCTATTTGTCGCGCTGCTGTTGGACAGCATGCGAGGAGGGTATCATCTTATGCTCGGGGATCGATGGTGGAGCGTGCGTGGTGCACGAACGAGTGTGAAGACTTTTTACTTCGTCCTGTGTTGCAACGTGGCGTGAGGGTGACATCAGTCGTGCACTCTTGCCATCTTCCTCTGTAGTTGTGTTGTTGTTGTTGTTGTTGTTGTTGTTTCTCACATTAGCTCTATAGTCCACAAAAAATGGGGAGCCCGTGGTCTCAAAACCCGGCACATACGACGCCGCGAGAAAACAAAAAACAAAAATAGGATACAAACCACTCGGAAAAAGAAAACAAAATGATCGAAAGAAAGAAAAGAACAGGTATCGCACCTAACCTACTGTTCGAGAAAAGAGCCCTCGGACACCGATCAAAATAAAACAAAACAAAAAAAACAAAAAAATAAATAAAGGAGGACGCTTCCCACACCCGCCGAAAGAAAAAATGAAAGGGTAACGTAACGTACCAGTGTGTGCCGATACGATGCTACTTTATGAATATGATGTGAAATATAGATTAGATGTGATGTTTCATCTATTTTATGATGTTTCATCTATTTTAAATCTATTTCAAATGTTAGTCCAGGTGTTCTGACAGCAGTATCGCCTGCTGGAACTTCAGGTAGAAAAAAAAAAAAGGTGGTCTTGTGATCATTTCACCCAATCAAACACGGATTCCTGTGGATCTTCCTGTTCTAACTGTTGGTGTGGGTGTGAAGTGTGGGAGCACCAAAGCGGTTAGGACCAACCCAAGCAACAATATAAATAACATATATATCATGTAGTGGTCTTTGCTGTCAACAAGGCGTGCAACAAAGTCGTCAGTGAACCGGGCGCGCAACATGTAGTCACGGCCGCAGTACATCACATTACATACAAAGCATTTCTTGAGTCGAGAAGAAAGGGCCGACGGCGTTGCTTTCCGTCGTTCACGACACAGCGGAGATGACACATGTGCAGTTTCACGCGTGCGTGCAGACACACGTGGAGAAACAAGACGCAGAAGACCACAGCCAGAAACATTCCGCTCGAAGCAACGAACACAGGCAACATTGACTCGCCATGACGGAGGTGGAAGAGTATATTATCCCTACCCGCCACGCGGCGATTGACTGCAATTGCTTCGTCACCGAAAGACAGACCACAAATCCGGAAAGCACCAAACAAACCGAAAGACAAGTTGCACTTGAAAAATAACCTCCACCACGAGGAATCTTTGTGACATGGACTTGTCAAGGCAAAGGAGGCTACAATCAGCCAAGAATCAGCTGGAAACTAATGCGTTGGCCGTTCGCATGCATATGCACACGAAAACGCAACTAGTCGGCACAACAACAGATGAGGCGACTTGTCGATCAAGTGTAAGCATGCCTGCCTTAGCTTCACCTGGATGACTGCGGAAGGAAGTGATGATTCAGTGGCGCCGCCGCCATACAAAATCAAATTCCGGTGTTTCCACGCCAATCAAGTCACAAGTGCCATCTTGTCGCACGCCCAGTTGTGGAGAATCACAGCTCTACCTGTAGGGCACACAACGTTTTTCCATACCACAGGCGATATCAATGGAAATCTTCCCAAACTAGAGCACACCAAGATGAAGGGTACGTACGTGGCACGCACTGTGGTAATTGTGGTGAGATTAGGGCACGCAGTGTTCGACGCGCCTGATCACGATGGCAGGGGTCAACACGTGGATGACTGACTCACTTTGATTGCTCACTTCGTTCTTGGGTGATGACAGGTGATAAGCGTGTGGGATGACCGGGGTGCTACTCAACAACTCATTCCAACTGAGTCGTGCTTTCAGCACCCACGCTTGGATCTTGGGATCCATTCAATAGAAGCTTCCCGCATCCATCTGGATCTTGGGATCCATGCAATAGAACTTTCCCTCTTTCCAAAAATATTTCCTGCACAAACATGCGGAGAGTAGATGCCATACCGTCAGCTTGGCGGCGTACGCCAGCAAACGCTTCGTAGTGATGGACTGCTGCTGTACGACTGCTGTGTGTGTTTGTGTATTTGTAACTCGTTCAAATAACGCACCCCGTCTATCAAACGTTTATGCACAGTGCAACTCGGCGTGGTCACATGTGAAGAAATTGTTCCGAGTGGTTTGTGTGCGTGTGAAAGAGAGAGAGAGACAGAGATAGCGAGCGAGCGAGCGAGCGAGAGAAAGAGGGAAGGACAAGACGAGGAAGGTGCGATGTGCCGCTCCGGTGTGATGATGAATGCGCCTTCCCGGTCGTGCTTGCGATTGTACGCCTGGCAGTATGGCACGGCCGAAATCAGTATGCCTTTTCTTGGCAGGACGCAGAAGTCAGGCAGCATTGTTCGTGGGGTCGAAATAGGTGCCATGGTGTCTGGCGCAGGTGTCTGGCACAGTGTCTGGCGCACGCTCGTTCAGACAATCGAACTTCCCCTTGCTTCGCCACCAAACCGGAAGGTTGCGTTTCCGCGTGGTGTAACCTTGGAAAACTTCAATAACTAGTGCTGTGTTTTACGCAGGACATCTCGGGCAGCCGTTCGAACGAGAAGGCAGCGACTTGGTGAATGAATAATTTTCGACTGACGCACTGAACGATACATACTGTTACAAGGTTTTACGGCGCTTACGCCGCCACGCCCACTGTGAGCGCTTCCCAAGATGAATGGGAAGTAAGTGTGTGTATACGCTTGTGTGGTGTAGGCAGGATTTAGATGGTGTGTGATGCCAGAAGGAATGTCAGGGGGCAACGCCCGCCGTATTGTTCCTAGTTCGCGGTCATTATTCATGCTAATACCAACGGCTGCAGTAACCATCCATGACTGCCAACACCACATGAAGCCATGCGAACACCCATGAACATGCGCTAGGTCTCCCACTAGTCAAATCCGTTACGACACCTGCGAATACCAATGCCAGCACTCATGAACATGCGCTTGCGTCGCCCAGAAGAATCCGACACACGACACCCACGAATGGCAACTGTCGCTGCAGTAACTAATGCCATAGCCCGCGAACGCGCTACCCACAAGTTTTTCCGACACGACACCTCCATGTAAACCCGACACGACGAATTCGCACTAGAGAGCAAAAGAACCAATACGCCCAATCCTCAACGCTACAGGAAGCGCACGCCCAGTACTGTCTTCGGTACACGAACCGCTACACTCTACGTAATGTGTGGAGCTATCGCGAAAGCCCTTTGGCTTCAATCCAGCCGCCATCAGCGCACTGGTTGGGGTGTCGTGACATGGTCTGTTCATCGTCGTGGTTGTCGTCCTCTTGAAGTTGTCCTTCGTCGCTGTTGGGGACCTGGTCGTTCGTCGCATGTGTGAATCCAATGAAGTCGATATATTGCGGTGGTAGAGGCGGTGAGTCAGTGATGGTGTCAGTTGCAGCGTTAACGAAAGCTGGAAAGGTAATGTTGGCAACAAATGCGGTACGGTTTAGGGAACCACGCAACCTCGCGGGTAATGTGAGGCACATAATCGACGATCGCTTCTGCGCCCTGCTGAGTGCTACGTAGAGTTGCCCATGCGTGAAAACGTCTGACCGCAAGTCAAGCCCGATTTTGGACAGAGTTTGACCTTGACTCTTGTTGATCGTTAGGGCATAGCAAACGCGAAGCGGCAGCTGCAACCTCGAGAAAGCGATCCCGTTCCGCCCAACTTTTGCATTAAGACGTATACGCGGTATCAGAACTAGAGAGGACAGTCCATCAAGGAGTTCTACATGCACAATCCGTGTTGAGTAACCACGCACTATAGCCTTTTGACCGTTGACCAAACCCTGCTTGAAATTGAGGTTCCGTGTTATCATGACCATGCAGTTTAACTTCAACTCCAATGCATGTGGCGGCACGCCTGAAACGTCGATTGCGTTGAGATCAGCCGTAGCAACGAAGTCAAGGTTATTATCGTGAGGGTCAACTGTGTCACAGCTATATGCCGTTAGCATGTCCCCGGGCAGAATGTCAAGCACGTGGGAGTTGATTAAGTCAATTGTGGCATTTGTCGACGACAAATTGCTCTCGCCTTGAAGTCGGTAGGGTCGGCGGTGAGAATATCTTGGTAAACAAAGTCAATTAGTTCTTCGAATGAGTCCGTGTTGTCGATGAAAAACTGATCTTTCGGGCTGTCCGGAACTTCATGAATATATGCTAACGGCACTGCATCGATACCGTCGTCTGTCGTTGTGTGGGCTTGTGTTCCTATTCCCGACATTTCGAACAAAAGCAGCGTACGCGGCGTCCTCTCGATCACGCTGTGAAATTGTTAGTCGCATGCGTTGTACATGAGGCCAAAGCGGGCTGGATATGAGCGACGCATCAATAGTCTCAGCTGGTCCACCATGCTTGACAACAGGACCTATTTGACGTAGATCGCCGCTGAGGAGTACGGTTTTTCCTCCCATTATGTTGTCATTACCCATTAGGTCTTGCAGTGTAAGGTTGAGCGCTTCAACGGAAAAACGGTGACTCATTGGAATCTCATCCCAAACAATAAGGTCGCATTTACGTAGCACTTCCGCTCGTTGTGATTCTGCAGAGATATTACACATTGCTCCACTGACGTTTTTCTCTTCCAGCGGAAGCTTAAACATAGAGTGCGCTGTCCATCCTCCTGGCAATTGAAGTCCGGCAATTCCGGTACTGGCTACACACAAAACTAATTTGCTCATGGACCTGAGACGGGCGCACAGTATGCTCTCCGTGTACGTCTTGCCAGTGCCAGCTGGCGCATCAATCATGAATAGGTTCGAGGCGCCTGATGTTACGCAAGTGCTCGTCAACGAATGCACTCATCTGAGCTGGGTCGAACATGTGTTTAAATCGCATGTATTCGGTATCTAGGTGCACTACCGCCGGCAGCCCAACGACCTCATTCGTTCGTCCGTGGTGCTGCAAACCGAGATCAATTTGGCGGAGTGCGGTGTTGTTGGCATCCCGATCAGACATGTTTATTCGCAAATCTTCGGTGAAGTCCTGGTTGAACTGCTCCCACAATATTTTGGCCGGAGCGCCGTCAAGAATAAGGGTGACGAATAGTTCACGCAGTTGTCTACCCGTGTTAAATATGACCGCCTCCTGTAAGCAAATTCTGTACTCGTCGTCGTGCTTTATAATTCCCATTGCTCTGGCGGCGTCCTGAAACGTGTCGTAGACGGTGTCATCGTGCGTTCTCAACTGTTCGAAAGATCTTGCTGGTTTATGGTGTAGAAGCAGGCGCAAGTAGAAAACATCACCTTTGTCCGGGGACATGGCGGACACACGCGCAACATGTTTATCGGACGACCGCGGTGTGACATAGTTGCGGAATTTGTCTCTGAAAAACGTCCCCTGACGGGCCTTGTCTTTCTTGACGATGTACTGTTCATTGTAGTCCAAGTAGGTAAGCGAATCAAATGTTTGGTCAGTAGGCCTCCGTAGGTAAAGTAGATCGGACGTGGACGCCCGTGCCGCCACCTTTTGCTCAGCGCGTGAAAGAGATTCGTCTACAACAATTTGCTGTTCGTTGGGAAGGTGCAGTCGGAGAGAACTGACGGACGGGTTACGTTCGATGACATGGAAACCCAGCAACCGCCACGCAGCCTCTGCAGCTGATATGTAACGAGCTGAGCGGTATGCCTCGATCTCGTCGCCGTCACATAGAATCTTCGCCTTAATAAAATCAGCACCTTTGTTTATATACTTGTATATGTATTTGACTATCGCGCTACCGGTGCACACGTCGAAACACATGTGGCAGTTGTATTTGGAAAGGAGCCATATATTGTACGGGGCGATCCATTGGTTCGTAGCGAAAGATTCTACATACTTGCCGTTAACTTTGTGCTTGTACGGAAATTTTTCTCCTGTGTCGCGTCGACGGTATTCCGCTCTCCCGTTTTTACTGTTGACTACAGCAGCTTTACGCCATGGTTGAGGATATCTCTTGCCGCAAACTTTAACTCCAGTACGATTGCGATCATCCTGCATGCAAGGTGATGAAATGTTCTTAGACCCGCACTGTTTATGCACCATACAGTTTAGTACTTGCTCTCTGGCCCTACCACCGTTAAGGTCTGCGGGAGGAACTTCTGCCCAACACCACTCATCCATCTCGCCTGCCTCGTCGGGTAGGGGCCCTTCAAATTTAATAACCAAATGCAGATGGGGGAGTCCGTGCTTTTGCCATTCGATGCAAANACTTGCTCTCTGGCCCTACCACCGTTAAGGTCTGCGGGAGGAAGTTCTGCCCAACACCACTCATCCATCTCGCCTGCCTCGTCGGGTAGGGGCCCTTCAAATTTAATAACCAAATGCAGATGGGGGAGTCCGCGCTTTTGCCATTCGATGCAAGACATTTCGAAAACAACGGGCCCAAAGATTCGCCCACTCCGTAAGTCTTTCATCAGCTCGTCCTTCTTGATTTTGAACACTCTATCGCCCAAATCTGGTCTGTCAAAGGCTGTCTGTCCTGAGAGAAGAATAGCCTGAATGGCTTCCCAATTCCCGTTGCACGTCATGGTGAGCATTACGCTCGGGCGCCCTTTCCTGGCAACTACGGCTAGCGCGNCAAATCTGGTCTGTCAAATGCTGTCTGTCCTGAGAGAAGATTAGCCTGAATGGCTTCCCAATTCCCGTTGCACGTCATGGTGAGCATTACGCTCGGGCGCCCTTTCCTGGCAACTACGGCTAGCGCGTCAACGGTATTGGCTTTCATTTTTGCCGGATGACCGTGGAAACCTTTCGGCAATACTCTACCGACCTGACTGTCTGGCTTTGCTTCCGTTAGAACGTTGTATGTCGTTGCTCGTTTCTGTCCTGCATCGGAGGAAAGATTCTGCAAACATTGCTCTTCGTAGCGAGAATCATGTCACACAGATACTCTTGGGTTACTCTCCCTAATTGCTGAAACACGGGTTCCGAGAGAATTCTTTGCCTGACGTAGTGCGCTAGTGGCACCTTTTTCCCGGTGGGGCCGACAGTCGCACCTACGACACCTTCCCCTGGTATCCACGTACCCTTCGACCAACCTGCATCCCCAGAAAAAAACAGTAGAGGGTATCCTAATGGCTCATAGGCTGCACTAAATATAGGTACGAAGCGCGGCCTCCCGGAGTCGGCATTTCGTGGGTAAGTGTAAACCTGCCGAAACAGCTGACTCGTATCTTCTTGGAAAATGCACGCGGCGATTTCAGAGGTAGTTGGTAACTCTCCAAGTATTGGGCCGTGAGTTGCCCTGCTCACAGGACCAAAGCAAATTTGCGCATCTCGCATATCATGGTCATTTCGTACGACTTCATCTACCGCACACCTGTAAGACCGTACCCACGAGTTATGTTCGCCAAGCGCAGATCGAAGGGAGTCCACAATATTTGGGTCGAGACCAAGGTGCTCCCCGTGTGCCCTCTGTTCGTTATCATACACGTAAAACCTGGCGTAGTTTGTCGGTGGCCGCGTCTCGCCAGTGTACATATTCTCAGCATCAAAAATACGCCGATACGCCTTGCCGCACATAGTGAGCATTGAAGGTGCTGATGGTCCACGCCAACAACCGGAAGGGCTTGCCCCTAGAGCTGTGAAAGAGAAGAGGCTATTGAGTCTGCGCTGATTACGGAGGAAGGAAGTCTGATCGAAAAGTTCTTGGACCTCGTCCGGCAACGGACGCAAATTCGGAACGGCATACTGGCCGTTTCCGCAACAGCTGATTGTCTCTTCTTTCCAGAGCATTGCTCCACAACTGGCCAGTGCTGGGAAACCTTGTCGTTGGGGTCCGATAGAAGGGGAAACTCTAACGTGTGTTCGTCAGGAAGAGACACCGTGCAATCGCCAAAGCGTACGATACCAAGACGTGGATTCTGCTGTCGTCGTCGTCTTGCAGCGCGTCTGCGCAACGCTGTCCTTCTTGATATGGAATTGGGATGGAAAATCACATGACGGCGCATCGCGGTGGACTGCTCACTAGTAACCGTTCCATCTCTAGCAGCCAGTCGAATAGCACCAACCAACGCGTCGGACAGGCGACCTGTGAAACCATTCGAAGTCATTTCTGTGTGCAACCGCTGCGCTACTTGATCGGCACCTATAATTGGCCGCGGTTCATCCTGATGACTATTACTCCCATCGTCGTTACCCTGCTGCTTAGTATGATCTTCCTTTTTGGCATCCCCGACACGTCTGCGTGTTTTTGACTGAGCCGAAGGATCGCTATTGGGTTTCGCGTCTGCTTGTCTGGCCGCAGCAGCGGCTGCCCTGGTCGTCCGCGGCACTATCTCTGCCTTCAGTTCGTCAACAGTTTTCGCTTCTTTGCTACACCGACGGGTGCTTGGTTTAGGTTGAGCCCGAGTGCTTCTTGTTTCACGGGTGCTCGATTTAGGTTGAGCCCGGCTCGAATCATCTGCTTTGCTCACTAGTTTCCCGCTGCGCGAGTTCGGTCTAGTCACCTTTGCAGTTTCCTGGTTTACCGCTGCTTTCGACCGTACGCGGCGCAACTTCAGAATGTGATATGTCCGCATGACCTTGGACTGTACATCAGAGACTGCTCCGACACGCGCACAACTCCGAATGTTTTGTGCATGAATTTGTAGCGCCTCGAACGAAAAAAAATTGCAATGCCTACGCAGACTTTTGGCGGTTCGCGTATGATAGACGCGCATAATCACAGCATCTGCGCTAGTGACAGCAGGAGATTCCTGAACACGGCCACGAATATCCTCAACACGAGACCTGAGGTCACTGAACGGCAAGGACTTTGCCTCGACACGAATTTCTTGAATGGTTGGCAGAATAGCCGAATGATTTTGTGGCAGAATTGCCGAACGTGGCGTGAAAGCCGAATGATTTGGCGGCGCAAAAGCCGACCGAGGCATGTGCCGAACAGAAGCCCAAATTTAGACCTCACAGCACTCACTTCAGAAGTCGAAGTCGATGCTGTCCGCGCTGACGACCTTGTCGGAGGAGATACCCTCCAGCATCATGTTGTCCACGAACTGCTCGTGGTTGTCGTCGAAGACGGCACGCGCGCAGCCCTTGGCGAGGAGGGGTTTGTTTNGCACTCACTTCAGAAGTCGAAGTCGATGCTGTCCGCGCTGACGACCTTGTTGGAGGAGATACCCTCCAGCACATGTTGTCCACGAACTGCTCGTGGTTGTCGTCGAAGACGGCACGCGCGCAGCCCTTGGCG